AGTATTGGTAGTGTCGGTAGTATTGGTAGTGTCGGTAGTATTGGTAGTGTCGATAGTATTGAATATCTAGTGTCGATATCGGTATCGGTGTCGCGATACCGATACCAACACTCAGTATCGTTAGTATTGTATCGCGATACCGATACTGGAATTTCAATCTCTACTATGCAGTATGTTTCAATATTAAAAACATCAATGAATTATGATGCCGAGTTTCAATTGTAAGTTATAATTTATAACAATAGTGTTTAAATCAAGTATTAAGATTTAAAACTACATATACTTTTAATTATAAAATATAATAGATTAATTTTAAATTACCTGAAAATACAATCAATTATAAAGAATAATTTTATGAGAATAACTTATACACAAACCTGAATGACGTCGGAATCGTAATTATACGTCAATTCACTCATTGTCTGTTGGGCTAAAAGTTTACAAATGATAATAAAATATTAGTAGATTGTAGAATATAGTACAATAACTTGTCAATTAGTTAGTTTAACAACGATTAGTAAAGTAAATCTATTATACAAAATTAGTTGTTTGTTCAATAATATGATAAATTAACAACAATAGTTTATTATGCAGCATAATTTATGCTTATAAGAACTTCAATTACTATAAAATAAAATGTAACTAATAGTTAGTATTATAAAGTGCACGAAGAATATGTTTATAACATAGATTCTATAGATAGATACAAACTTGTAATTTACAAATAAAGTAAAAACAATAGATATACACTTAGAGTCGTTTATTTTCACATTGTACTATTTCACAAGTTGTCTAAATTCACAAATATCACTAACCTCATCTTGGGGTATATGTTTTAGTATGGGTTAATTTCACAGCTCTATAATGTCACTTTCACACATAAATGTGATTGTTTTAACATGGTGTGCATAGGAAGCATGTTATATTTACACATTTTAATGCAAGCAATTTTTCATGATTTCAGGCAAGTTTGTGAATAAAAATAAGTGTAAAACAATGAAAATATAAATTTCTAACAAAATGTGTTAATGTTGGTTTGTGAATCACTCAAATAACTCATTGCCAACGATTGTTTACAGTCTATTATGAAAATCATGTTTAGAAACCATGTATATGTATAGATAATTGAAAAAAGCGATGCAACATTTCTATCTATAATTTCACATTTTATAATTTCACACAACGAAAACTATGGTCCCAATTGTGTGAAATTAGACGACTTTAAGTGTACTGTATTTAATTTTTGACTAGTATTTCAGTTATAAAATAAGAAATTCTTACCTTTAATACAATTTATAACTCTCAATAGACGCAAACAATTGTAAAATAAGTATATAATTAAAGAAAATGTCTGTTTCGACGGCTCTTTATATAAGTTAGTGAATTGCGTGATTCAACCAAATAAATGGAAAATAAAACATACACTGAAATACATGTTAAGAAAATGCACTAACGAATAATGCTTTGAAGGTTTTCTGGTGCAAAATACATCTTATTTTAATATATTACGAGTAAATTACTAGCTCCGATAGAAGGGCCTATAATTAATAACCAACTTGACAAACATACGCCTATTACATACATATTTAAAAACATACATTTCTGAACGTCTTTATTTATTATTGATATACATGTATTTTATAATATATTTATTCAGAAGATAGAAAATTTTATTTTATATCAGTAAAACTCGATAAAAGTGGTCACTGCAACCAAACCCAATGTCAGCTGGTCATATAGTAGTCAAAACTATACTTAAAATTTGTAGTCAACAATTTCCAATTGCTCATTTGACATTTATTAATATTGTGGTGGTTTTTTGCTCTCTATAAATTATAGATTATAAATTGTCCCAGAGTTGGAATTTTAGCACTAATAAGCAGCACAAAAGTCGACGTATATTATACTGTATATAACTGTACTGTTTAATGTCTTATAACAAACATTATATTAATCAATAATTTCAGATCATTAATTAAAAATTTATTTTGGTTTAATAACCTAGTCACTATAATATTTTCAAGTCAATTATAATTTAAATAACTTTAATATAATTAATCACAAATAGTTGTAATTAAAACTAAGTTTAGTTGATTATATATTTATTATATTAAAAATGTTAACTAATGTTAACTAACTTTATTTAATATCTACATTATCTAACGGCTACTAATAGCTATTTGCGGACACTCGGATAGCTATTTTTAAAATGAAACATGTGCCATTGTCATTGAAGTGTTTTATAAAAATATTTATTCTAATATTTTATATGTAAAAAATAATTTCATATCAATTGTGACGGATTGTGACCAAATGGGCGAACAAAACATACAAATAGATATAATATTGTGGACAACATTTCTGATGCAGTGACTGCCAAATTGATGGCCATATAATTGCCAACAAAATGAAACCATACATTAATATATTAATATAAATTACACTCCAATTCGAAAAGCAAAACACATTTTGATACGCTTTGAAAATAAGTAACAATCGATTTTCGGATATTCTTTAATGACTAACAATTTAATGTAAAACAATTTTAGTTTTACAAAATAGTTTTAATCTCTTTTACTTCAATTAATTTCTGTTCAATAGTAATTATTGTTAATCAAAATATTGCTAATTATTAGCACGGTCAATCTGTTGTGGTATGAAATTTAATTTAATTAGCAGTAACTTATTTAATTTTACTGTTGAAACCATAATAATAATATTAACATTACTTACAAAACCAATTCTGTGTAAATTTTATTACTTTTTAAATTGAATTTTTGAATAATTACACTTTTATATAAACTTAAAATAATGATAATTTTTATTTAATCTATTATAATATTAATGTAGCTTAAATGATTGATATTTACTTTTTGATTGATATATTATTTAGTTTGAATGTCACTTTCAAGTTTCAACACTATTACAGTACTTTAGTAATTTATTATAATACTTTCGATTGTAATAATAATACGACCCCTCAAGTGGTCAACATTAATAGTACAGTGAAGTAACGTTAGTATTACATAATGTTTGGTCTATTTGTAACCAAATAAGCAATTGTTGAGTGATTTAAATGATTGAATTAAATGTTGTTTCATATGAGATGAATGAGTGGTTGAATGAGTGAATGTGATGTGTTTGGTATGACTGACACAATGGCTGTTGTAATACATGTCGTGAACTGAAGGTAGAGTTAGTTGTGATGAGTGACCAAATGATACTCAATAGTGATGTAATTGAATGACTGGTCTAATAGACTAATAGACATACAATCGCTTCAATCCATCGCTTAATTGCTGTCATNTGTAGTGAACTGAAGGTAGAGTTAGTTGTGATGAGTGACCAAATGATACTCAATAGTGATGTAATTGAATGACTGGTCTAATAGACTAATAGACATACAATCGCTTCAATCCATCGCTTAATTGCTGTCATTGTTATCGAAAAGAGTGAACCGATTGTGAAATATGTTGAATGTCTCGCAAATGCATAGTTTGCGAGAAAATAGCGATAATTACACAAACATAACGATTCTGAGCCGACCCACAGTGCCTGTAGTGACTGAGTCCAGTCCTCACGTCAGCGCTGGTCGGCAACCAAATGCATCCAAACCCACACTCAACACATCCAACACTTCCAACACATCCATCGCTAACCAACACAATCACCCAAACCTATCACAACCACCACAACCACCACAACAAGCATCACAAGCAACACATTCAGCACAACCACAGCCACAATGTGTGGGAAGCGATCAAATTGGGAGCAACACTGAGTGTGCGGTGGAGGACAAGTCGCCGATGTGTCAAATCAATGAGATTTGTAGATATAATAACATTAAACAGGAGTACCTTCTGATAGAAGAGTTGGGTCCGCCTCACGACAAGACATTTACCGGTTTGTTGTTTCACACAATCCATTGCTTGAAAATGTTGACTCATTTATCATTGTTTGCTTTCATATGGACTGCCCTTCACTGTCATTGACTGCCATTCACTGAACAACAGTTGCATTAAAGTTAGGTTCGAGTGAAGAATATCGTGGAAGCGGTCCATCGATAAAGAAGGCGCAGAGAAGTGCCGCCACTTCGGCTCTCCTGCGGACACAACTGAAACACCCGACGCCC